GGTAATTTAAATAAATCTGAAATACAAAAAAGTAAAACTGAAATTTTGGATGAATAACTTATATATATAAAAAAAACGGTTATAAATGTCTAGCTGAAATAAAATAAGTACAAAAAATAAAAAATACAAACAAAAATAAAAGCTACTGAATTCAAGAAAATTAATAAAAATGACAAGTGCACATAACAAAATCAATAAACTTGAACTAAAATGAAAACATTACACACACACTTTAATACATATATTACAGAAATAAATATAATCATAATAAACTACATATAGTTAATATATAAATACATATATAATATATAAATACACTAGATTACTATAGAATAGAAATAAAAATGTAAAATATGAGTAACTATAACAAACTATACACTATGTATAAACTATAAGCTTCTGTATATCCTAAACATTACGTCACATGGTCTAAATCTCCACGTTCTGTGAAAAGCTTCCAGACTGATGCCGAAGAAGATGCAGCTGCCGATGAGGAGCCTGCCACTGCTGGTGGACGCGGATGAGGAGGTGAAGAGCTCTCCTGAATCAGGTGAGACACACACACACACACACACACACACACACTGATCCGTTCAGATCTCTGTATAACACACACACACACATGTGCTCGTGTCTCCCGCAGCTGTCGAGGTTCAGAGTAAGTGTCAGCTGGAGTCTCAGAGGCAGGTGAGACCCGGGTACTTCAAGCCTGAGTGTGATGATCAGGGCAACTATATGCCCATGCAGTGCTGGCACAGCACCGGATACTGCTGGTGTGTGGATAAAGAGGGCAACGAGATCCCTGACACACGCATACGTGGACGCCCCCAGTGCAGCTAAGGTGCGAGCAAACTTCACAATAAACAATATAAATGTGCTCTCACTCAAACTGCTATGCTGCGAACTGTTTTTTTTTAAGATTAGTGTTTATTATTATTCATATACATATTTTGAATTAGCATTCATTTTATTATTTTTGGTTTTCCTTTTAGTTTATTGTTTTATAATTTTGTTATTTTTGTTATTATTTATTATTTTATCATATTATTATTTTTATAATTCTATTTACCTTTAATTTGACATTTTATTTATTTTAATCTTATTTATTTTAGTTACTTTCCAAAGCCACATTTAAAAACCATTAGGATCATTGAAATTTTTTTTTTTTCAGATTTATTTGAATTACCAAAAATTATTTTTAATAGTTTTATTTTAGCTGACAATAACAATACAGTATCAGATCTCTCCTTCGGTGTAACTTGCGCCTATATATAAATTTGCACTCATTCAAATTGTTGCTAGCAGTGTTATTTTAGTAAAATGTATATACTATTATAGTATTTATTAATATTTTTAATTAGCCTTTTTTTATATTTTCATTTTAGTTAATGTACTTTTGTTATTTTTGGTATTTGTTTTATATATAGTCTACTGTATATAGTTCTACTTATTATTATTTTATTTATTTTAATTTTAGTATTTAAACTATTTATTTCAGTTAGTTGCCAATGCAGCATTTCTAAAGTTTTTAAATTTAAATTTTCCATCCAATATTTATATTAAACAAATCATGAAAAGGACGTGATTACAATGATTTTTAACACTTTTAGCTAACCACAACAACACTGGCTACTTTTTATTTTATTTTATTTTATTTTTTACTTCTAATGGGTGTTTAAGTTTTAGTTTTTCATCTAATATTTATGTTTAATTTTTAAGCTATACCAAGTTACCAAAAGTGTTTTTATTTTTATTTTCCTAAGTTTTACTTTTAGGTACACTCGGTAATAGAATCTGCTAATATAATTGATTTCAAATAGTTGAATTAAATAAGAAAAATGCTCAGCAGAAGCACATACAATATAAATCCATACTAAAACAAACTAGAAATGATTTTGTGCACCTTTACAAGAAAAAAACCCCTTCATTGTTAAGTAAATAACTTGTATAATAAAGTAGTATTGACATCTTTCTCTGTGTTTGTTTCATGCATTTCTCCGCTGATGGATAATCACAGATGCTGAGCTTCTCGGTGAGTCTATCTTTTACAGTCCACTGTAGATTACTTTGCTAATATGAGCATCTAAACCACTGATACACACTGAAAAATATTACTAGTAAACAGCAAAGAATCAGCAAGTAACAAATTAAACGTATGAAAAGTAGAAAGGCTGAAACAGTATTTGATAGTAAAATCATTTCCTGATGTTTGTGTGTCTCTGTTTCTCCAGAGTGAATCATCTCGTCCAGCAATAAAGAGAATAACTCCAGTCCTATTATCTGTCATTAGTTTCACCTCCTGACGATCAATCAGTCCAGATGGATGATATTAAATGGGAATAACCCAATAACCTTCCTACTGAAGATCTCTTCTTCTGATCTGTGTTCAGAATAGATAAACATACACAGCATATTAGCGCTGGTCTAACCCTTTTTCTAATAATAAATGCTCTGTGTGATACCATTTCTTTGTTTTAATTTGAACTCACAGCATGATGTTCGAGGTAGCATGAATACCACAGTGCTTATGTCTGTAAATAAACACATGCTGTTTCCAAATAAGACTTGTGTGTGTTTATTGTCATTGTTTTATTTAAAAACGATCGACCCTATCCATAAAAATCAGCAAAAAATATTATTTATTAAACGGGAATATTTTCAATTCTGTCTGAATGATCTCTGTGTGTTTCGATACGAACATGAAATTAGAATATTAACATTTATTGTGTAGACATGTTAAAGATAAACATGTTGAAGTGGCAATAAAATAAGGCACAAAATAGAAAGTGCTATTCATATTGCAATAAATATGATTCAAAACATCATTATAAAAACAATGTTGATGCATGTGTTAAGTTGCAATTCATTGTGAAAAGACTGATTTTTGAGCCGAGTATGATTTTTTAAAAATGTATTATTTAATTATTTTATATTTTTATTTAGATTCAAGATTAAGATTTTTTAACATTTTCTATTTAGCTTTAATTAGCTTTACTTTTTACATATTATTTATTTGTTTTATTTTATAGCTATTTTTAGACAAATATAAATAAATAAAATAGATAAATATAAAAAATAAAAATAAAAGCTAAACAAAAAAGTGTGTTTCCGTTTAGCTTATTTTTATTTACTTCCTTATTTCAGTTAGTTACCAATGCAACATTTCTAATCATCATTTAAATTTTAGATATGTTTTTCCATTTTTTATATATTTTTTTTATTTCAGCTTTCAATTAATTTTTTTTTAATCAAAGTTATTAAGTTTGTTTTTTTGTGTGTGTGAGATGAAGAATAAATGAAGAGTAAATCTGCACTGAAATGTCATGCAGCTTACAGTGTTATTTTAGTATATACTATAAGACTATACTTATAATACTAAAAAATAAGGCAATCATTGAAAATAACAGGAAAAATGTATACAAGTGCTATTCAGATTGCACTGAACATGACTGAAAACATCAGATGCATCATTAGGAAACAGTTTTGATCAGCATAATAGATTGCAATAGAGCTGAACCGCTGCATATACAGATGTAAATATTAAGAGTTCTGAGAAATATAGCTTATGTGCCGTCTGACTCATGCACTTCTTCTTTCAGATCATTTTCACTGAATTAATAATGTCTACAGTTCCCTACAAAAGAGTTCTGCATTCAGACGTGTATATTCTAATAAATAGTCATATATTGTAATCTGCCTATCATTTTTTCTCAATCTTCCTTCTCTTTTTCAAAACAGATATATGTTCAGTATCACATCCTTATTTATTTCAAGGTAACTTGACTAAAAACATTGTGACTTACTGAAAATCAGGCATTTGAATATGAAAGTGTTGCGTGCGGTCAAACGAGGAAATGAATCGCACAGGAAGATGCTCAGAATAAACTGACCATAGGGTTAGCGGATGATTATGAGACGCAAGCAGTGATATTTTACCATCACTGAGACAATACTATAGTTTTTATTTTATACTTTGAAACAGTTTTTATTATTTTTCTATTCCTTTTAACTTTTTTTTTTTTTAAATAACACATATTTAATTACTTTTCATTTTATATTTTAATTTTAATTTGAGTTAAAATTTTAGTCATTTTGTTGTGTATTTTTGTCATTCATATTTTAGTTTTTTTTCTCATTTTTAAATTCATTTAAAATTACATTTTTTACATTTGTAGATTTGTATTGTTTTTATTTCAGTTAAATAGACAAATTTAAATAGACATTTTTAGATAAATGTAACTACATATTTTAAAAATATTTAAAACAACAAAAATAAATTGGAATGACTAAACATACATAAAAATTACTACAGGCGATAAATATATAAACTATAGAAATATATACAACTGAAAAAAAAAACACTGAAAAACGAATATTTTAATAATAACAAATAATATTTCTACACAAATATTCCTATTTAGCTTAATTTATTTGTATTTTTAAAATTTTCATACACACACACAGACATGCACGCACACACACAATAAAATCAATATAGACATATTTATAAAAAAATAAAATAAATAATAAAAACAGCTCAGAATGACAAAAATTCACAATACAATTACCAAAACTTTTACTGAAATGAAAATGAAAATATAAAATAAAAAATGATAATATAATAAAAATTTAAAAATTACACTATATTGCCAAAAGTATTGGTCCTGTCCAAACTGTTGCTATAAAATTAGAAGCACACTATTCCCTATAATATCATTATATGCTTAAACATTAAGATTTGTACTCATGGAAATTACTAAAGTAGTCAAAACTGTTCTTTAAGGGGGTGTCCCAATACTTTTGTCCATATAGTGTATATAAAATATAGTTATAGGAACCCTGAATGCAACACATTTAAACACACACAGGTGAAAGTGAACACTAATGATAATGAATATTTGAAGAGAGTGAAACACAAGCACAAGCACAAGCACACACACACACACACACACACACACACACACACACAGATCTTCAGTTCAGAGCCGCTCGACACAAACATGGACTCGTCTGTGAGTAATCTCATCAATCTCATGCATTTCTGCTCGAGTTTTGTGTGAAATATGAGTTTAATGCTGATTTCTAGCATGTGTGTGTGATTGTGTTGTAGGTGGTTGATGGAGGAAGAGCTGAGGAAGAGTGTGAGACAGCAGACAGGAAGAGGGACCTGCAGGACCTCCTCAGACAGGAAATGGACATGCATCTTACTGGTAGGCATGAGGAGACTCACATCAGTCTGTGAGATGATGATGTGGATGATGATGATGATGATGATGATGATGATGATG